AATTAACGGAATATGACTCACTCCTAAAGTCAATAACTATGAAAGTGTTAAACCTCTCCCTGCAAGATGACCAGTGGGACCAAGCAACGCTCCCAGTTAGACTCGGGGGTATAGGTATTCGCGAGGCGACGCAGCATTGCCGGCATTCTTATCCTCGATCAGTGCTACAAGTGAATTAGTGAATGAAATTCTACCAGAATACCTAAGGAATTCCATTGGGATTCATGATCCCAAATTTGCTGAAAGAGCTGGTCAGTGGGACACACTTGCCAACTCTCACCCTCGACCAACTTTCTCAAACGACGGCAAACAGACCAAATGGGATAGCCCCATAGTGGAGAATATCGCCATAGCATTGATGGAGGCAGCTTCTGAGAAAGATAGAGTGCATCTTGTAGCTGTGCAAGCGCCCTATGCCGGGGACTTCCTGTTGGCAGTCCCTAATTCCGCCTTGGGCACCCGCCTGGACCACCGGGCCCTAAGTATTGGTGTTGCTCTGCGCCTTGCCGCCCCTATCTCCACCGAGCACCGGTGTATTTGCGGCTATGCACGGGCAGACCAATACGGCAGCCATGGTCTCATCTGTCGTAAGTCACTGTCGTAAGTCAATGACATCATCAAGAGAAGTTTGGCTACAGCTGGGTGTCCAGCACAAAGGGAACCTCAGTTGTGCAGATCTGACAACAGCCAAAAACGCCCAGACGGAGTCACCCTGCAGCCATGGAGGGAAGGTAAACAGGTCGTATGGGACTACACGTGTGCGTCTACATTGGCTGATACCTATCTACGTTTCAGGACAGTTGAGGGAGGCGGGGCGGCCACCTTCAGGGAGACCCAGAAATCCAACAAGTACAGAGACCTAGAACGTTGTTACAGGTTCGTGCCGATAGGCTCTGAGACTCTGGGCGCCCGGGGGTAAATGTGCACTTAAGTTCTTAAAGGAGGTGGATGAGGAACCCATTGGGAAAAACAAAAGACTCACCAGCAGCCAGTTTCCTGTTCCAGCGCCTCAGTGTCGCAGTTCAGAGAGGAAATGCGTGCTGTATCTTGGGTACGCACCCAACCTCCGAGGAGCTGGACGAGGTCTTCGAACACTGATTGTTATATATATATATATATATATATATATATATATATATATATATATATATATATATATATATATATATATATATATATATATATATATATAACTGAAAACTCACACCCCAGAAGTGACTCGAACCCATACTCCCACAACTGGTATGTACAGGGACGCCTTAATCCGCTTGACCATCACGACCGGACAAAAAGAAGTGATAGCCGAGGCTATATGAACCACTTCCCCGCCGGCACTCGGATGGTAATCTTGGGCATAGCATTTTATCAAATCACCTCATTCTTTGGGGCACACGTGAGGAACACAAATGCAACTGCTTGCATTTGTGTTCCTCACGTGTGCCCCAAAGAATGAGGTGATTTGATAAAATGCTATGCCCAAGATTACCATCCGAGTGCCGGCGGGGAAGTGGTTCATATAGCCTCGGCTATCACTTCCTTTTGTCCGGTCGTGATGGTCAAGCGGATTAAGGCGTCCCTGTACATACCAGTTGTGGGAGTATGGGTTCGAGTCACTTCTGGGGTGTGAGTTTTCAGTTGTATATAGTCCTGGGGACCATTCAGGCTTGTTTGCATATATATATATATATATATATATATATATATATATATATATATATATATATATATGAACACCCAAATCACGGAACTATTTACTCTACCCACCATGAGAGTAAGGACAAGACAAGAACATATTGATGCCAACACAGAAGACAATGTCCAACATAACAGGCCAATTACACTGGATTAATCTTTGTGTTTAGATAGGAGATGCCTCGTATGGGCCAATAAGCCTTCTGCAGCCCCTATGTTTATCCCTTATGTATCCCCCCATGTTTTCACCTTCATTGTATTATCACCTGACCTAATGCGGGTATAAAATCAACTAATATATATATATATATATATATATATATATATATATATATATATATATATATATATATATATATATATATATATGAGGTGAAACATAGGGGCTGCAGAAGGCTTATTGGCCCATACGAGGCATCTCCTATCTAAACACAAAGATTAATCCAGTGTAATTGGCCTGTTATGTTGGACATTGTCTTCTGTGTTGGCATCGATATGTTCTTGTCTTGTCCTTACTCTCATGGTGGGTAGAGTAAATAGTCCGTGATTTGGGTGTTCATGGTAGGTCGCTCTATTCTTATGTGAATTGCCTCAAGAATTTGTAATCTTCTTGCATTTTGGGTTTTGTCTATTATGCAGGTATTCTTGTTCAACATTTCTCTGGTTAGAGTAATGTCATGGGCTTGTCTCATGTGATTCCTAGGGGCACCAGATTGAAGATGGTATGTCAAACGCCTCGTCAGCTTGGTCGACGTCATACCTATGTACTTACATTGAAGGTTACATCCTTCGTGGGGGCAAGTGTACATGTATACAACGCTTGACTGCTGTAGAGGGTTCTCCGTCGGCTTCGGGCTGTTTTTGATAAGGAGTTCGGAAGTCTTCTTGGTTTTGTAGAATATTATCAGGTTTATGTTTTGATTAGGAGTAGTGCTTTTTACTATATGACCGAAAAAGTAAGATTAATAATTCTAACACGAATTTTCTCGATCTTTCTTACGTTTCTTTTCACTGTTGATGGTAATTCAAAGATCAATTCTCTAAAATTCATTTTTATTTCTAGTCTGACGCGACACTTGAGCGCGTTTCGTAAAACTTATTACATTTTCAAAGACTTTAGCTTACACAAACACACACAACTTTAACTGAATAGAGCTTAAACACCTTTCGAGTTTTTATACCTACATTTGGGTGAAGTGACATGTTACAATAGTTTTGGATGAGGTGAAAATAAACTTTTAACACAAGACAGAACACGAAACAATGAAACAGGTATTAAAAGTAGATAACTGCAGAAGGCCTATTTTTATTGGCCCATATTTCTTGATGCTTCTATATTGGAGCGGAGTCTTGAAGTGGGTAGAATATAGTTGTGCATTAATTGGCTGTTGATTGCTGGTGTTGACTTCTTGATGTGTAGTGCCTCGCAGACGTCGAGCCGCCTGCTATCGCTGTATCTATCGATGATTTCTGTGTTGTTTGCTAAGATTTCTCTGGTGATGATTTGGTTGTGGGAAGAGGCTATATGTTCCTTAATGGAGCCCTGTTGCTTATACATCGTTAAACGCCTGGAAAGAGATGTTGTTGTCTTGCCTATATACTGAGTTTTTTTAGGCTTACAATCCCCAAGGGCATTTGAAGGCATAGACGACGTTGGTCTCTTTTAAAGCGTTCTGCTTTGTGTCTGGAGAGTTTCTCATGAGTAGGCTGGCCGTTTTTTTGGTTTTATAGTAAATTGTCAGTTGTATCTTCTGATTTTTGTCTGTAGGGATAACGTTTCTACTGACAATATCTTTCAGGACCCTTTCCTCTGTTTTATGGGCTGTGGAAAAGAAGTTCCTGTAAAATAGTCTAATAGGGGGTATAGGTGTTGTGTTAGTTGTCTCTTCAGAGGTTGCATGGCGTTTCACTTTCCTTCTTATGATATCTTCCACGAAACCATTGGAGAAGCAGTTGTTGACTAGGACCTGCCTTACCCTACAGAGTTCTTCGTCGACTTGCTTCCATTCTGAGCTGTGGCTGAGGGCACGGTCGACATAAGCGTTAACAACACTCCTCTTGTACCTGTCCGGGCAGTCACTGTTGGCATTCAGGCCCATTCCTATGTTTGTTTCCTTAGTGTAGACTGCAGTGTGGAAAACTCCGCTCCTTTCCATGACTATTACATCTAGAAAGGGCAGCTTCCCATCCTTCTCCATCTCGTAAGTGAAACGCAACACAGAATTCTGCTCAAATGCCTCCTTCAGCTCCTGCAGATGTCTGACATCAGGTACCTGTGTAAAAATGTCGTCAACATACCTGCAGTATATGGCCGGTTTGAAGTTCATGTCGACTAAGACTTTTTGCTCGATGGTACCCATGTAGAAGTTTGCAAACAGGACACCTAGGGGAGAACCCATGGCGACCCCATCTACTTGTTTATACATGTGTCCATCCAGGCTCAAGAAGGGTGCCTCTTTAGTACAAGCTTGGAGTAGTTTCCTTAGACTGTTTTCTGGTATGTCAAGAGGAGTACAGGCCGGATCACCGTACACTCTGTCGGCTATCATCCCGATTGTTTCATCCACGGGTACGTTGGTAAACAGAGATTCTACGTCCAACGAGGCTCTTATCCCTGTGGCCCGTGTGCCCCGCAGCAAGTCAACAAATTCCTTTGGAGACTTCAGGCTGAAGGCGCAAGGGACATAAGGAGTCAGCAAACCGCTGAGTCGTTTCGCCAGTCTGTATACGTGGGTGTGGGTATCTGGCTGATGATTGGCCGAAGTGGGTTTCCATTCAGATTCAACCACCCAGATACGGGTGGTTGAGGCTCTCTGGTACTTCACCCGGCAATACCCATTACACAAGGAGGCCCTCCGGCTGCTCCCGGGTAAACTGGGGAAGATAGTGAGGCTGACCGCCTATGGTAATGCTCCTTGCTTAGAGTAGAGTAGAGTGGAGAGAGAGAGAGGTGTACGTCGGTCCGCGGCGGCTGCTCGCGTTGCAATGCAAGAGTCATATTGCTTTAAACAACGGAAGGCTCGGAAAGTGGGATCCAAGAGCCAACGCTCGACCCTGCAGGCACAAATACACACACACACATTCCAGAGACCCAGGGTAGGTCCCTGGAAACATAAATACTTAGGTATATTTTCACTCACCTGATGCGGCTGTTCACCTAGCAGCAAATAGGTACCGGAAGTCAGGCCACTGTGGCTGGGTTGCCTCCTGGGAAAGGTCGGTAGTTGAGCCATATGGACCAGGAGCCCATCTTTTCCAGGATGCAACCCACAACAGTTGCCTAACTCCCAAGTTTTCCCCTAGGTGAACAGCCGTACCAGATGAAAGGAAACATGTCTAACAGTTTCTGTCAAGCTTGGAAATGTAACCCGGATCCATCTGATGGTTCGAGTGCCGAGGACGCAGACCACTGCGCTACAGGACCTTCGCGTATATACACGACAAACACAAAAATACAAAAGATTTCATTATAAAAATTACGATGCAAACTGCGACGAGGAACAGTTTGCAGGGTCCATCTTCGAGGCGTTTACAGAGTCTGGGTGGTGGAAGTGCATGTTGATCTGGTGGAGGGTCATGCCCTTCGTCTCCGGCACCATCAGGAGAGTGTAGACCAGCCCCAGCAGGCACACCGCCCCGTAGAGCCAGTACACACCAGGCTCCCCCAGGCTGGCCTGTAGGAGAGAGGCGACGTCTTAGGCCGTGATGGTGAGTGATCTGGTGGGTGATGGTGAGTGATCTGGTGGGTGATGGTGACCCACCTGGAAGGTGATGGTGAGTGATCTGGTGGGTGATGGTTAGTGACCCACCTGGAGGGTGATGGTGAGTGATCTGGAGGGTGATGGTGAGTGATCTGGAGGGTGATGGTGAGTGATCTGGAGGGTGATGGTGACCCACCTGGAGGGTGATGGTGACCCACCTGGAGGGTGATAGTGACCCACCTGGAGGGTGATAGTGACCCACCTGGAGGGTGATGGTGAGTGATCTGGAGGGTGATGGTGAGTGATCTGGAGGGTGATGGTGACCCACCTGGAGGGTGATGGTGACCCACCTGGAGGGTGATAGTGACCCACCTGGAGGGTGATGGTGAGTGATCTGGAGGGTGATGGTGAGTGATCTGGAGGGTGATGGTGAGTGATCTGGAGGGTGATGGTGACCCACCTGGAGGGTGATGGTGACCCACCTGGAGGGTGATGGTGAGTGATCTGGTGGGTGATGGTTAGTGACCCACCTGGAGGGTGATGGTGAGTGATCTGGAGGGTGATGGTGAGTGATCTGGAGGGTGATGGTGACCCACCTGGAGGGTGATAGTGTAATGGGACCCAGGGTAATGCCCCTCTTCCGTCCACTAGCCCGCCCTTAGTTAACTATACTTAAAGACCTCAGAGTTCTACTGCAGCCTTCAGTCCACTCCTCGTGATCTTAGACATTTGAGCGCCAAGAGATGCTACACACACACACGAGACACTGTACAAGGTCCCTAGCACACTCTTGAGATCTTCTCACCTGCCACCACCTGAGTCCACTTCACCCTGATTAACCACCTAATTGACGATGAAACAGGAAATTGTCAATTAGATATATTTCTTAGAATATGGATCCCCAAATAATTGAAAAGAGAGGGATGATTTACGTTTTGAAAACCAAGTGAATATTTCCAATATTAAATAGAATAGGCTTGCTTAGAAGTACCTCGGCGACTCATTCAATAACCAGCGGCTCGTGGACTTTTGTGGCAAAGAAAATATCTATTTCTTATGTGTGAACTCAAAACACAAAATTAGAAATTAATCAACAAGTTTATTGAATTATGATTAATGGTAATGGGACAAATTAAACCGGCATTCCCTACGCTGAACACTTCCTAAACTGAAATACATCCTAGTGAAATATTTCCTAAACTAGAGGCACTGAATTAATGGATCTAAAATGAACTGTACCAAACCATTAAGCACTTTACCATTATCTTAAGACCAGCCTGATGTTCGCCTGGCCTTCTGGCGGTGAGATGTTGCCCTACCAGCTGTCCAGTCCACACTGATCCACTCTCTGACTCCCAGACTGTGACGCTAACTAAGATTACTCCGCCAGCCTCTCTGCTTGCCAGAACTAGTAAGCAAAGTCAATTGAACAAGCTAATCTTATTTACTGGCCACCCAGTTGATTGAATTACTATTGAAACTGATGGTAATTCCTTAGGTTCTTGGGCCCGGTGTAACATGCATGACCCCCCCCCTTAGAGTTCACAGCCAGGGAAGCCTTCTCCAAGAGGTCAGCCCAGATGACCTCCGGATTATCTTGTATGTTGATTAAAAAATTCCCGGGTTAGTCTTAGTCAGCTAGTTTCAAGGATGTAATATTTCATGATACTCTTGTCAAACATTGCAATGGAATTAGACCCCAGATTCTTATGTGTAAACATCAATGGATCTCTCCCTTTTGGCCAGGTCAGAGGTCAGTCACACACGTAATTAATAACTCCTCTCTTGAAGAGTGTATGGTGAATGTCAAACAAGCTTAATTGAAATGTTTTTAAGTGTTTGTGCACGTGTGGCCCGACCCCCCCTGACATTTTTTATCTAGGTAGCAACAGTAAATCTTCCCCGCCCCCTTTTTCGAGGGTATATATTGGTCCTGTAGAGACTTAGGGACAGAGTGTGGGACACCGGGATCGAGAGCGGGTCTGTGAAGAACACTTCACAGCCAGGGAGAGACAGAGGTCTTAAGGTAATGTGTGTGATCTCAGGTTTTGTTCCATGTCCAAATTTCTTAACTTTTGGACAGTGTTAGAGTAGGGTTTATAAGTGGTGATTGACATAATTTTGTTCTCAATAAACTCATGTTAAATTTCCCGTCTGTGTCAATTGTTGAATCCTCTTAGCCTTTTGGATATAGTGGCTGACAACCGTCCCATAATTAATGACAGTTATAGAAAGTACTCTCCAAGTCAAGCAATGTTTCTTGCCTCGTTGCTTGATATAGTCTCAATGGTCAAGGCAGATGGTGGCAGCGTTATTTAATCCAGTGTAGCATTTCCTTGTTGGCAGTGTACCTTTGGTTCCGGTGTAACCATCATATGTCAGCTCATATTACAGTGTTCAATAACAGTGTTACCAAGTGCAACCGATAGGAAGTGTTACTCAGGATAAGTAGTAGTGTACATACATTATATTATTTAGTTAATATTTTATAGAAGTGTTTACATTATTAGTTTAGTTTCCATTATATTTCCAGTTGGTGTTACACCGGCTACTTCCAATTACAATATTGAATAGTGACTTAAATTTTACAATTTATGAATTAACAATACGGAAGGTTGTGGTCTTCCTGGCCGCATGACCTCGACCCCAAGGTGGGTCAGAGACGGAGCCTGACGAACTGGTCCCCTATTCTAAATGACGTTAATGTCTCTTTGACAGCATACGAGCCTTGATCTTAACTCTACATTCATGTTAACTTAACATAAATACTTAACCCAGACTGGCTATTACAACAATTACTGTTATTACTAAACTATTCATCAATGTTGAATTAATACAAGGGAACCGTAGCCATTTTTTCTTATTCCACCGTTAATGCTCTACTCTCTGGAGAGTGACCTCTTGCGTCTTCTCAGGTAAACAGTTCACTTTCACTCCACTAGCTTGTGTTGCCTGTAAACTCTGTGATCTAAGATCAAGTTCAAGTTCAAGTATGTTTATTAAGACAAGAAAGAAATACATCTCAAAAGGATAGAGAAGCTTAGGCTATTTCTACCCTCCTGATCTAAGATCTCACCTGAAGTGTGATGGTGAGTCACCTAGAGGGTGATGGTGAGTCAAGTGGAAGGTGATGGTGACTCACCTGGAGGGTGATGGTGACTCACCTGAAGTGTGATGGTGAGTCACCTGGAGGGTGATGGTGACTCACCTGAAGTGTGATGGTGACTCACCTGAAGTGTGATGGTGAGTCACCTAGAGGGTGATGGTGAGTGATCTGCAGGATGATGGTGACTCACCAGGAAGGGTGATGGTGACTCACCAGGAGGGTGATAGTAACATACCTGGAGGGTGATAGTGACTCACCTGGAGTGGGACGAAGGTGATAGTGACCCACCTGCAGAGGGACGAAGGTGATAGTGACCCACCTGCAGAGGGACGAAGGTGATAGTGACCCACGTGGAGAGTGATAGTGACCCACCTGGAGGGTGATAGTGACCCACCAAGAGGGGTGATAGTGACCCACCTGGAGGGTGATAGTGACCCACCTGGAGGGTGATAGTGACCCACCTGGAGGGTGATAGTGACCCACCTGGAGGGTGATAGTGACACACCTGGAGGGTGATAGTGACCCACCTGGAGGGTGATTGTGACCCACCTGGAGGGTGATAGTGACACACCTGGAGGGTGATGGTGACCCACCTGGAGGGTGATGGTGACCCACCTGGAGGGTGATGGTGACCCACCTGCAGAGGGACGAAGGTGATAGTGACACACCTGGAGGGTGATAGTGACCCACCTGCAGAGGGACGAAGGTGATAGTGACACACCTGGAGGGTGATAGTGACCCACCTGGAGGGTGATAGTGACCCACCTGGAGGGTGATAGTGACACACCTTGAGGGTGATAGTGACCCACCTGCAGAGGGACGAAGGTGATAGTGACACACCTGGAGGGGGATAGTGACCCACCTGCAGAGGGACGAAAGTGATAGTGACACACCTGGAGGGTGATAGTGACCCACCTGCAGAGGGACGAAGGTGATAGCGACACACCTGGAGGGTGATAGTGACCCACCTGCAGAGGGACGAAGGTGATGGTGACACACCTGGAGGGTGATAGTGACCCACCTGCAGAGGGACGAAGGTGATAGTGACCCACCTGGAGAGTGATAGTGACCCACCTGGAGGGTGATAGTGACCCACCAGGAGGGGTGATAGTGACACACCTGGAGGGTGATAGTGACCCACCTGGAGGGTGATAGTGACACACCTGGAGGGTGATAGTGACCCACCTGGAGGGTGATAGTGACCCACCTGGAGGGTGATAGTGACACACCTGGAGGGTGATGGTAACCCACCTGGAGGGTGATGGTGACCCACCTGCAGAGGGACGAAGGTGATAGTGACACACCTGGAGGGTGATAGTGACCCACCTGCAGAGGGACGAAGGTGATAGTGACACACCTGGAGGGTGATAGTGACCCACCTGGAGGGTGATAGTGACACACCTGGAGGGTGATAGTGACACACCTGGAGGGTGATAGTGACACACCTGGAGGGTGATAGTGACCCACCTGGAGGGTGATAGTGACCCACCTGGAGGGTGATAGTGACACACCTGGAGGGTGATAGTGACCCACCTGGAGGGTGATAGTGACACACCTGGAGGGTGAAGTGACCCACCTGGAGGGTGATAGTGACACACCTGGAGGGTGATAGTGACACACCTGGAGGGTGATGGTAACCCACCTGGAGGGTGATGGTAACCCACCTGGAGGGTGATGGTGACCCACCTGCAGAGGGACGAAGGTAATAGTGACACACCTGGAGGGTGATAGTGACACACCTGGAGGGTGATAGTGACACACCTGGAGGGTGATAGTGACACACCTGGAGGGTGATAGTGACCCACCTGGAGGGTGATAGTGACACACCTGGAGGGTGATAGTGACCCACCTGGAGGGTGATAGTGACACACCTGGAGGGTGATAGTGACCCACCTGGAGGGTGATAGTGACACACCTGGAGGGTGATAGTGACACACCTGGAGGGTGATGGTAACCCACCTGGAGGGTGATGGTGACCCACCTGCAGAGGGACGAAGGTAATAGTGACACACCTGGAGGGTGATAGTGACACACCTGGAGGGTGATAGTGACACACCTGGAGGGTGATAGTGACCCACCTGGAGGGTGATAGTGACACACCTGGAGGGTGATAGTGACCCACCTGGAGGGTGATAGTGACACACCTGGAGGGTGATAGTGACACACCTGGAGGGTGATAGTGACACACCTGGAGGGTGATGGTAACCCACCTGGAGGGTGATGGTGACCCACCTGCAGAGGGACGAAGGTGATAGTGACACACCTGGAGGGTGATAGTGACACACCTGGAGGGTGATAGTGACACACCTGGAGGGTGATAGTGACACACCTGGAGGGTGATGGTAACCCACCTGGAGGGTGATGGTGACCCACCTGCAGAGGGACGAAGGTGATAGTGACACACCTGGAGGGTGATAGTGACCCACCTGCAGAGGGACGAAGGTGATGGTGCTGACGAAGGCTGCTATACGGACGGCACAAGAGACCAGACTGCCAGTAACCGCCTTCACCTCATGAGGAAGCATCTCTCCTGTTGTTGATATTGTAAACATTGTAGATTACCCCGGGGGGGGGGAGGGGGGGAGGGGGGGGGGTGGGGGGGTGGGGGGGTGGGGGGGGGGGGGGGGGGGGGGGGGGGGGGGGGGGGGGGGGGGGGGGGGGGGGAGGGGGGGGGGGGGGAGGGAGGTACATATGCATGTGTGTTGTTCAGTGTCAACAGCAACACTCTTACACACGCCGTCTCTGAAGCCCAAGTCTTGGCAGGACTGAACGCTGATCTTTGCATAATATGAAAGGAAATGCCAACTACTATGAGGTTCATTAGTTATATTTGTAGCAAAATCTGTCTGACTGTTTGTATCTCTGACTTTCTGTATCCCTGTTTGTTTGTCAATTGTTCTCTGTCTCTCTTATTCTGTCTCTCGCTCTCTGTATTTCTCTCTCTCTCTCTCTCTCTCTCTGTATTTCTCTTTCTCTCTCTCTCTCTCTCTCTCTCTCTCTCTCTCTCTCTCTCTCTCTCTCTCTCTCTCTCTCTCTCTCTCTCTCTCTCTCTCTCTCTCTCTCTCTCTCTCTCTCACCAGTATGTATCACATGTGTCTCTGTGTATCAAGTAACTATGTAATAGGTGTCTCTATGCAGGTACACATTTTGGGGTCATGTGACCACAATTGACTCGAGAGGTCAGGGAAGATGTGCATTGATGGATAGAAGGTCAGCGAAAAGAATTGATAATGTAATGAACATATATGTTTGTTTATTAGAGCCAAATTATGATAGGAAAAATTATTTGACAAATTTTGCAGACATCAGTGCATAATGTTTTACTAATTAATAAGAAAAAATGATTTTAAATTTAATTTTTTAGAATGTCTTCCAGGTCATGCAGGTCTGAGTCACCAGAAAGATCACAGGGGTTCTGAAGGCTCTCTGCCATGCTATACTCGTCTGCCCCAATCCATGTTGGGCATGTACCCAACACCAATTATTGGGAAAAGTTGGGTGAGAAAGAGGTTCTCCTTAATTAAAAGTCTACAGACTCGCAGACACACATTTAAACGTAAAAATACACGTCATAACATATCCATCTAAAGTGACTCACCAAAGGTGACCCATGGAACAGGACCCAAGCCCAGGGAGAAGGCAGCCATGAAGACCACGAGGCAGGCGAGTGGCAGCCAGTCCAGATTCTCAGACGTCCACACACTGTCTTCCTTCTTCAGGTAGAAGTAAGTTCCTAGACCAACTGAGACAACGACATGAGCTTATCATTGGACCGTGTGTGAGATGATGGGTTAAGGTGCACATGCTGACTACTGATGGTAGAGTGACACACACACTGACCACTGATGGTAGAGTGACACACACACTGACCACTGATGGTAGAGTGACACACACACTGACCACTGATGGTAGAGTGACACACACACTGACCACTGATGGTAGAGTGACACACACACTGACCACTGATGGTAGAGTGACACACACACTGACCACTGATGGTAGAGTGACACACACACACCACTGACCACTGATGGTAGAGTGACACACACACTGACCACTGATGGTAGAGTGACACGCACACTGAGAGTGACCACTGATGGTAGAGTGACACACACACACTGACCACTGATGGTAGAGTGACACACACACTGACCACTGATGGTAGAGTGACACACACACTGACCACTGATGGTAGAGTGACACACACACTGACCACTGATGGTAGAGTGACACACACACTGACCACTGATGGCAGAGTGACACACACACTGACCACTGATGGCAGAGTGACACACACACACACTGACCACTGATGGTAGAGTGACACACACACACACTGACCACTGATGGTAGAGTGACACACACACTGACCACTGATGGTAGAGTGACACACACACTGACCACTGATGGTAGAGTGACACACACACACACTGACCACTGATGGTAGAGTGACACACACACTGACCACTGATGGTAGAGTGACACACACACTGACCACTGATGGTAGAGTGACACACACACTGACCACTGATGGTAGAGTGACACACACACACACTGACCACTGATGGTAGAGTGACACGCACACTGACTACACTTGGTAGAGTGACACACACACTGACCACTGATGGTAGAGTGACACACACACACACTGACCACTGATGGTAGAGTGACACACACACTGACCACTGATGGTAGAGTGACACACACACTGACCACTGATGGTAGAGTGACACACACACTGACCACTGATGGTAGAGTGACACACACACTGACCACTGATGGTAGAGTGACACACACACTGACCACTGATGGTAGAGTGACACACACACTGACCACTGATGGTAGAGTGACACACACACTGACCACTGATGGTAGAGTGACAGACACACTGACCACTGATGGTAGAGTGACACACACACTGACCACTGATGGTAGAGTGACACACACACTGACCACTGATGGTAGAGTGACACACACACTGACTATTGATGGTAGAGTGACACACACACACTGACCATTGATGGTAGAGTGACACACACACACTGACCACTGATGGTAGAGTGACACACACACTGACCACTGATGGTAGAGTGACACACACACACTGACCACTGATGGTAGAGTGACACACACACACACACTGACCACTGATGGTAGAGTGACACACACACACACTGACCACTGATGGTAGAGTGACACACACACTGACCACTGATGGTAGAGTGACACACACACTGACCACTGATGGTAGAGTGACACACACACTGACCACTGATGGTAGAGTGACACACACACTGACCACTGATGGTAGAGTGATACACACACTGACCACTGATGGTAGAGTGACACACACACTGACCACTGATGGTAGAGTGACACACACACTGACCACTGATGGTAGAGTGACACACACACACTGACCACTGATGGTAGAGTGACACACACACACACTGACCACTGATGGTAGAGTGACACACACACACACTGACCACTGATGGTAGAGTGACACACACACACTGACCATTGATGGTAGAGTGACACACACACACACTGACCACTGATGGTAGAGTGACACACACACTGACCACTGATGGTAGAGTGACACACACACTGACTACTGATGGTAGAGTGACACACACACACACTGACCACTGATGGTAGAGTGACACACACACTGACTACTGATGGTAGAGTGACACACACACACACTGACCACTGATGGTAGAGGTCAAAACTTCAGGGTCCTAATATCTGAATCAACTATAGGAGAGATTAAAGATAAGTTATCAGGAACAGTAGGACCATAAGCCTTAGACTGCTCTAACATTTTTGTCAGTCTCCAGCAGAAACAAGTCAAACAAACACCCTTTGGGTATTGGAGGGTGTTCTGAAGCTTTGGATCAAGAGGACTGTTAGTATGCTTATCCCTTCCACATGGTGTGGTGGAGCCTCGTGCAACATGCTTTCACCTACAGTCACCTTGACCCAGATGTAGGGGGGGGGGGGTGAAGAGGACTATAAGGAATGATTTCCACCTTATGTTGTCAGCAGCTTCGTTTTTAGAATGATAGTTATCATATTTTAATACGTTTTATCCGGATATATAAATATCTGTGTTATAAAATAACGTTTTATCCGGATATATAAATATCTGTGTTATAAAATAACGTTTAATCCGGATATATAATCATCTGTATGATAACATAATGGTTTATCCGGCGCTATATACACCTAATCTAACCTAAGCCTAAATATATACGATGTACTAATATATATAATAATATTAATTTATATTTGTCAACAAATTCAATTTTGAATGAGCAGCGTGTTAAAAGTAATGACTGCGTCTGTGGGGTCGGCCGCTGGGTGGAATGAACGTGGCCAGAGGTCGTAGTTGTCGTCCTAGTGACCAAGATGTGGACGCTGTTAGTAAACAGAGATGTCAGAGGTACCTGACTGGTACCCAACTAAGACTCTGAACCTTTTCTGGAACACGGCTGTTGTAATGTTCTCTGGGTGGAGGACCAGGCCTATTGGCCTATGTGAGGCAGCTCCTATTGGCCCATGCGAGGCAGCTCCTATTGGCCCATGCGAGGCAGCTGCTATTGGCCCATGCGAGGCAGCTCCTATTGGCCCATGCGAGGCAGCTGCTATTGGCCCATGCGAGGCAGCTCCTATTGGCCCATGCGAGGCAGCTCCTATTGGCCCATACGAGGCATCTCCTATTGGTCCATGCGAGGCAGCTCCTATTGGCCCATGCGAGGCAGCTCCTATTGGCCCATGCGAGGCAGCTCCTATTGGCCCATGCGAGGCAGCTCCTATTGATACCTAAGCAAGCCACAAGCCATACGGTGACAGGAGTTTACCTCACAAGGTAACACAGAACAGAGAGAACGCAGGTGGAGAGAACTCACCAATGGAGGCCGCCGTGCCGGCCGTGGAGACGAGGAGCCAGACCTTCCTGCCAGCCTTGTCCATGAGGACGGAGGCGGCCGCTGTGCCCACCACCTGCACCCACCCTACCACCTGGGCGCTCACATTCGCTGACAACGCCACCCCCGAGTCCTGCAGAACGGGGGTTCTTGTGTGAGAGAGAGACAGAGAAACAAAGAACCAAGAAAAAATTATAGGAGTAAATTTCAGCCATATATATATATATATATATATATATATATATATATATATATATATATATATATATATATATATATATATATATATATATATATATATATATATATATATATATATATATATATATATATACATATCTTAGTTTTACAAAGGATCAAAATGATTTTAATCAACCCTGGAATTTTGGTACCAAAGGTCCTCAGGCGGCAGGGGAGGACCTTTTTAAAAGCGGCGGCAGACACCTTTGCACCTTCAGGCACCTTCAGGCGGCACCTTTTTAAAAGACTGTGCCAAAATTGACAATAATCTTTACAAACAAAAAGCAAAAAAATGATCTACCGTGCCCATCATTATTTTGAACCACAGATTATATTTTACAATTATTATGTTTGTATCTCACTATTTGTGTTGATGGAGAATGAGAACAAAATGCTTCGAAGTCTTTCTTAAAGAGGTCCGTTTAGGCAGCCAATACCTTTTGCTATTTATTTATTTGCACATATAAGAGTTGTTACATTCATGTAAAGCCACACTAGCGCGCCCTCTCATATGTTATTGATAACATATAACTTAATATATGTCATTTATGACGTGCACAGTAATTCCAAGGAAGTAAAAAATGAATGAATTTCCAACAATAATAATGAACTTTTCCAACAATAATAATGAACTTTTCTAACAATAATAATGAACTTTTCTAACAATAATAATGAACTTTTCCAACAATAATAATGAACTTTTCTAACAATAATAATGAACTTTTCTAACACTAATAATGAACTTTTCTAACAATAATAATGAACTTTTCTAACAATAATAATGAACTTTTCTAACAATAATAATGAACTTTTCCAACAATAACTTTTCTAACAATAATAATGAACTTTTCTAACACTAATAATGAACTTTTCTAACAATAATAATGAACTTTTCTAACTTTTCCAACAATAATAATGAACTTTTCTAACAATAATAATGAACTTTTCTAACACTAATAATGAACTTTTCTAACAATAATAATGAACTTTTCTAACAATAATAATGAACTTTTCTAACAATAATAATGAACTTTTCTAACAATAATAATGAACTTTTCTAACAATAATAATGAACAATAATAATGAACTTTTCTAACAATAATATGAACTTTTCTAACAATAATAATGAACTTTTCTAACAATAATAATGAACTTTTCTAACAATAATAATGAACTTTTCTAACAATAATAATGAACTTTTCTAACAATAATAATGAACTTTTCTAACAATAATAATGAACTTTTCTAAGGACAAATGAGCCCTGCTGTTTACTTGCTTGTATCCTAGTGTTTACTGATAACACAAGTATAACACAGATGCAAACAAATCCTGTAGAAAATAATTTATAATAATGGTTTTAACAAGACAATTGAAAGTAATATAATTGTTAAATAATAATATATTACTTTATAAGCAACAAAAAAATATGACTGTGGGTTATTAAATAGTTATTAGTTATTAAAAATATTATATATTTGGGTTCATAATAAAATCTTTTATAAAGTATAACAGAGAAAAATAAAGTTATTTTACTCTCGACTTTTGCTGCGGCACCAATGATTTTATCTTGAGGTTATCTTGAGATGATTTCGGGGCTTTAGTGTCCCCGCGGCCCGGTCCTCGACCAGGCCTCCACCCCCAGGAAGCAGCCTGTGACAGCTGACTAACACCCAGGTACCTATTTACTGCTAGGTAACAGGGGCATAGGGTGAAAGAAACTTGGCCCATTTGTTTCTGCCTCGTGCAGGAATCGAACCCGCGCCGCAGAATTACGAGTCCTGCGCGCTATCCACCAGGCTACGAGGCTGACAGATATTTAACAAATCATAAGGCAGCAACATTAGTTGGCTTGCCGTATGCGGCACGAGTGCCATAGACATTAGAAGGGATATGAGGACGAGAAGCTGGGATATAAGGACAAGGAGTTAGGATATGAAGACAAGTAGCTGGAATATGAGGACAAGGAGCTGGGATATGAGGACAAGTAGCTGGAATATGAGGACAAGGAGCTGGGATATGAGGACAAGGAGCTGGGATATGAAGACAAGTAGCTGGAATATGAGGACAAGGAGCTGGGATATGAGGACAAGTAGCTGGAATATGAGGACAAGGAGCTGGGATATGAGGACAAGGAGCTGGGATATGAGGACAAGTAGCTGGAATATGAGGACAAGGAGCTGGGATATGAGGACAAGTAGCTGGAATATGAGGACAAGGAGCTGGGATATGAGGACAAGTAGCTGGAATATGAGGACAAGGAGCTGGGATATGAGGACCAGGAGCTGCGACATGAGGACAAGGAGCTGGGATTTAAGAACAAGAAGGTAGGATATGAGGACAAGGAGCTGGGTTATGAGAACATGGAGCTAGGGTATGAGGATAAGGAGTTGGGATATGAAGACAAGGAACTGGGATATGAAGACAAGAAGCTGGGATATGAGGACAAGGAATTGGGATATGAAGACAAGGAGCTGGGATATAAGGACAAGGAGCTAGGATATGAGGACAAGTAGCTGGAATATGAGGACAAGGAGCTGGGATATGAGGACAAGTAGCTGGAATATGAGGACAAGGAGCTGGGATATGAGGACCAGGAGCTGCGACATGAGGACAAGGAGCTGGGATATAAGAACAAGAAGCTAGGATATGAGGAAAAGGAGCTGGCATATGAGGACAAGGAGCTGGGATATGAGGACAAAGAGCTGGGATATGAGGACAAGGAGATGGGATATGAAGACAAGGAGCTGGGATATGAAGACAAGGAGCTGGGATATGAATACAAGGAGCTGGGATATGAGGACAAGGAACTGGGATATGAGGACAAAGAGCTGGGATATGAGGACAAGGAGCTGGGATATGAGAACAAGGAGCTGGGATATGAGAACAAGGAGCTGGGATATAATTTAAGGATGACGTGACGATTCCCAATCTCTCGGACCATCGGGGATCGAACGCCAACCAAAACATGATTCGCTGAAAAGATCAAGTCCTTTAACGAAGTAGTCTGCGTCCTCGTCTTAGTCTCTCACCAACTCACCTTAAACACAGTGGCCATGTTGAAGACGACGGGAGTCATACCACAGAACTGGGAGAAGAGCAACAGGGAGAGACAGATCATGAACGGTCTGTAGTTCTTGGGCTCCGACAGGTCCCTCAGGGAGACTGGGCCTCTCTCCTGAGTCTCCTGATGGAAGGACTGCAGCTTCTCTAGTTCCTCACTGATGTTGTGGTGTTTTCCTGGTGGGTGGAGATGGAAGGTGTCACACACACACACACACACACACACACACACACACACACACACACACACACACACACACACACACAACAACAAATGTAATGTAATGAAGATAGGTGTAGGGAGCAGGAGGCCAGATACAAGGTATCATCTGGGAGAGGAAATTCTTCAGGAGTCAGAGAAGGAAAAAGACTTGGGGGTTGATATCACGCCAGACCTGTCTCCTGCAGCACATATCAAGCGGATAACATCAGCGGCATATGCCAGGCTGGCCAACATACGAACGGCATTCAGAAACTTGTGTAAAGAATCATTCAGAACTTTGTATACCACATATGTCAGGCCAATCCTGGAGTATGCAGCCCCAGCATGGAGTCCATATCTAGTCAAGGATAAGACTAAACTGGAAAGGTTCAAAGGTTTGCCACCAGACTAGTACCCGAGCTGAGAGGTATGAGCTACGAGGAGAGACTACGGGAATTAAACCTCACTTCGCCGGAAGACAGAAGAGTTAGGGGGGACATGATCACCACATTCAAGATTCTGAAGGGGATTGATAGGGTAGATAAAGACAGTCTATTTAACACAAGGGGAACACGCACAAGGGGACACAGGTGGAAACTGAGTGCCCAAATGAGCCACAGAGATATTAGAAAGAACTTTTTTAGTGTCAGAGTGGTTGACAAATGGAATGCATTAGGAAGTGATGTGGTGGAGGCTGACTCCATACACAGTTTCAAGTGTAGATATGACAGAGCCCGATAGGCTCATGAATCTGTACACCTGTTGATTGACGGTTGAGAGGCGGGACCAAAGAGCCAGAGCTCAACCCCCGCAAACACAACTAGGTGAGTACAACTAGGTGAGTACACACACACACACACACACACACACACACACACACACACACACACACACACACACACACACACACACACACACACACACAGGACTTCTTCCTGCCCCAAGCAGGCCTGAGGAAGACCTAAGCCCTCCACCCCCTACTCCACCTCCCCCTGAACCCCTGGCAACTACCTCACAGGAGGATGAGCCTACCCAAGTAGCAATGACCATAGAACAACCTCCTACACTTGTGGGGAGTGTGGGTGAAATTGGATATAAGAAAGTGAGCTTCAAGGTAATGTACTCAAACATTGATGGGATTACCAATAAAGCAAGTGAACTGGCAGAAAGGGCGCAAGAAGAAAACCCTGATGTAATAAGACTAACGGAAACAAAATTGTCAGGAGTCATAACAGATGCTGTGTTTCCAAAGGACTTTTATATAGTAAGGAAAGAGAGGGAAGGGAGAGGAGGTGGAGGAGTGGCCCTGCTGATAAGGAAGGACTGGAGTTTTGATGAGATGGAAATTCCGGGCTGTGACGGATTCAGAGGTTACATAACAGGAACTATAACAATGGGTGGACCTAAGATAATAGTGACAGTCATTTACAACCCTCCCCTAAATGACAGAAGACCTAGATAGGAGTTTGATAGGAACAACATGGCAACCATTAATATAATAGAGAGAGCAGCTTCAGTTGCCTGCAGGAATGGCTCAAGACTCTTAATCATGGGTGATTTCAACCATGGAAAGATAGACTGGGAGAATGGGGACCCACATGGTGGTGCAGATACGTGGCGAGCTAAACTCTTGGAAGTGGCAACAAGGAATTTTCTGAGCCAGCATGTCAAGGAACCCACAAGAGTGAGAGGCAATGATGAACCAGCTAGACTCGACTTGATATTCACCCTGAATGAGTCAGAAATAAGGGAAGTCAAAGTTGAAGCCCCCATAGGAATGAGTGACCACAGTGTACTGACCTTTGAGTACTTGGTGGAGGTAGGGATAACCTATCCAAGGATGGGAGTGGAGGGGAAAAGACTGAATTACCGAAGAGGAAAATATGACGAGATGAGGAACTTCCTCAGGGGAATACCATGGGAAACAGAACTTAGAGACAAGAATGTGCAGGTCATGATGGATTTTGTCACCCAAAAGTGCCAGGAAGCTGCAGACAGATTTATCCCCGTCCAAAAGGAGAAAAACGAAAAACAATAGAAAAACCCATGGTTCAACCAGGAATGTAAGGTAGCGAAACAACTGAGTAAAAGAACATGGAGAAACTACAGAAATAACAGAACACCAGAGAGCAGGGAGAGATACCAGAGGGCCAGAAATGAGTACATCAGAGTGAGGAGAGAAGCAGAGAGACAGTTTGAAAATGACATCGCGAGTAAAGCCAAGACCCAACCAAAGCTGCTCCACAGCCACATCAGGAGGAAAACAGCAGTGAAGGAACAAGTGATGAAGCTGCGGAAAGGGGAGAACAGATACACAGAGAATGACAAGGTGTGTGAAGAACTCAACAAGAGATTCCAGGAGGTCTTCACAATAGAACAAGGAGAAGCCCCTGCACTAAATGAGGAGGCGGCAAACCAAGCAACCTTGGAGGAATTTGACCTCACCAGTGATGAGGTCAAAAGGTGTCTGCTGGAGCTGGATATGACAAAGGCTGTTGGGCCTGATAGAATCTCACCATGGATACTAAAGGAAGGTGCAGAAGCACTAAGTGTGCCACTCTCTATGGTGTATAACAGGTCACTGGAAACAGGAGACTTACCAGAAAGTTGGAAGACAGCTAATGCGGTGCCAATATACAAAAAGGGTGACAGGCAAGAGGCACTGAATTACAGGCCAGTTTCCTTAACTTGTATACCATGCAAGGTGATGGAGAAGATCGTGAGGAAAAGGCTCGTAGAGCATCTGGAGGGAAATAACTTTGTAACGCACCACCAACATGGGTTGAAGATAGATAGAGACTACAGGATGACCTGGACAAACTGGAGGCATGGTCTAGAAAATGGATACTAAAGCTCAACTCAGGAAAGTGTAAAGTAATGAAATTAGGCGAAGGGAACAGAAGGCTGAACACAAGGCACCATCTGAAAGGTGAAATCCTATAAGAGTCAAATAGAGAGAAAGATCTGGGGGTTGATATCACACCGAGCCTGTCCTCAGAGGTCCACATCAAAAGAATATCATCAGCAGCATATGCTAGACTGGCCAACATAAGAACTGACTTTAGAAATTTGTGTAAGGAATCATTCAGGACCCTGCATACCACCTATGTCAGACCAATCCTGGAATATGCAGCTCCAGCTTGGAGTCCATATCTAGTTAAACACAAGACAAAGTTAGAGAAGATTCAGCAGTATGCCACCAGACTCGTCCCAGAACTGAAAGGTATGAGCTACAAGGAAAGGCTAAAAGAGCTGAACCTCACGTTCAGCTCAGTTCACGTTTTCCTTCACTGGGAAACAAAAGAGTAAGAGGAGACGTGATAACTGCCTACAAAATTCTCGTGGGAATTGACAGGGTTATCTTGAGGTTATCTTGAGACGATTTCGGGGCTTTTTAGTGTCCCCGTGGCCCAGTCCTCGACCAGGCCTCCACCCCCAGGAAGCAGCCCGTGACAGCTGACTAACACCCAGGTACCTATTTTACTGCTAGGTAACAGGGGCATAGGGTGAACGAAACTCTGCCCATTGTTTCTCGCCGGCACCTGGGATCGAACCCAGGACCACAGGATCACAAGCCCAGCGTGCAGTCCGCTCGGCCGACCGGCTCCCCTTTGACCGTGGACAACGACAAACTCTTTAGCACAGGTGGAACACAAACAAGGGGACACAGGTGGATACTTAGTACCTAGATGAGCAACAGAGAAATTAGAAAGAATTTTTTCAGTGTGAGAGTAGTTAACAAATGGAATGCATTAGGCAGTGATGTGGTGGAGGATGACTCCATACACAGTTTTAAATGTAGATATGATAGAGTCCAGTAGGCTCAGGAATCTGTACACCAGTTGATTGACAGTTGAGAGGTGGGACCAAAGAGCCAGAGCTCAACCCCACAAGCACAACTAAGTGAGTACAACTAGGTGAGTACACTCACGTCAACGCCATCTGTGAGTCCGCTCCCTCAACCCCCACAAAATGGACGACGCCATCTGGTGGTGGCAGTATGATACCTGAAAGAGACTCTAGATTCCTGCCCTGGTCAACCCGAAGAGTCGCTGTAGCTGACCTCTGGTGAGGTGGCGACTAGCAATATCAGCGCCATCTATTGAGATATTGAGTTGTATGTCAATGCCAGTGTCCATAAGTGGTATTTCCTAGTGTCACAAGTACCGGCCAGTGATGACGTGTCTGTATCCACAGAGGCGACGTAGGGTTCCAGGGGTACGGAGACAAGCAGTCTACCCAGGGCAGCCTATTTTCTCTCTACTCAACCCGTTCTCGCAAATTTAATAAGTCAATATTGACTTATTAAATATGTGCATAGGTGACATACTTAACATAATAGATACCCTTAAAAAGATTCATAGAAAACACCGACCTTACCTAACCTTGTTAGTATCTTAAAATAAGCATCTTATTGCTTCGTAATTACAATTATTACCTAACCTATAATAGGTATAGGTTAAGTAATAATTGTAATTACGAAGCAATAAGATGCTTATCTTAAGATACTAACAAGGTTAGGTAAGGTCGGTGTTTTCTATGAATCTTTTTATTGGTATCTATTATGTTTAGTATATCACCTAAGCACGTAGTTAATAAGTCAATATTGACTTTACGAATTTGCGAGAACGGGTTGCTCTACTCCATTCTACTTTACGTGAGCAGTGAGCCGCCGTCGAAGAGGAACTGAGTAGTATCAGCTGTCTGCCTGTGAAGTGGCAGTGACAGAATTCGGAGTATCCCGGGACTGGCTAGAGGAAGAGACGCCCGACAGTGAGGTGCTACGGAGGAGTGTAACTAGCTAGTTGCAAGAAGCTCCTGCCAGGGGTTCACTACCCTTGTATTTGTTCGTGTAGAGGCCCAGCAGCGCGTGGCTGATGTTCTCTGCCAGCACCAGGCTGGAGAGTGATTGTGGGCGTTCACATGGAGCACCTAGTGAGACTGTAGACAGGCTGGCCCGTGGCTAGGGTAGACTCGTTGGTGTTTCCCAGTACTGGTTGAGGACGGTACTGTGTGTTGAGGAAACACGGAAGTTGACAAGGCTGCATTGTATGAGCATCGAGGAGCGCTTAGTGTCCTATGAGAGCGACACATGTGTATATATCAGTATAGTAATACTTCGTTTATGATTCTATTTAAGGTGATGGGAAAGTGACAATAAGTGAATATATTGATAATTGATGAAGTGTCGTATTCCTTTCAACTCCCGCCTTGTGTTTTACATGCATTACCAAGCTCGCTCCTTGAAAGCCACTACCGACTTGGGGTCGGATACTAGTACTTTGGTTCCTCCAGCAAAGAACCCGGTTGCGACCCATAGTGGCCGTAACACAAAGCTACTCCATAGTCACATCAGAAGGAAAACAACAGTGAAAGAACAGGTAATGAAACTTAGAACAGGCGAGGACAGGTATACAGAGAATGACAAAGAGGTGTGTGAAGAACTCAACAAGAGGTTCCAGGAGATCTTCACAATAGAACAAGGTGATGTCACTGTCCTAGGAGAAAGGGAAGTAAACCAGGAGGCTTTGAAAGGGATCGAAATTACGAGTGAGGAGGTCAAGAGACACCTGCTGGATCTGGATGTTAGAAAGGCTTTTGGTCCAGACGGGATCTCCCCATGGGTACTGAAAGAGGGTGCAGAGGCACTTTGCTTGCCACTCTCCATAGTGTATAGTAAGTCACTGGAGACGGGATACCTACCAGAAATATGGAAGACGGCAAATGTGGTCCCAATATACAAAAAGGGCGACAGGCAAGAGGCACTGAACTACAGGCCAGTGTCCTTGACTTGTATACCATGCAAGGTGATGGAGAAGATCGTGAGAAAAAACCTAGCAACACACCTGGAGAGAAGGGACTTCGTGACAAATCACCAACATGGATTGAGGGAGGGTAAATCTTGCCTGACTTGCTTAATAGAATTCTACGACCAGGTGACAAAGATTAAGCAAGAAAGAGAAGGCTGGGCGGACTGTATTTTCTTGAATTGTCGGAAAGCCTTTGACACAGTACCGATAAGAGGCTGATACATAACCTGGAGAGACAGGCAGGTGTAGCTGGTAAGGTGCTCCAGTGGATAAGGGAGTACCTAAGCAATAGGAGGCAGAGAGTTACAGTGAGGGGTGAGACGTCAGATTGGCGTGAAGTCACCAATGCAGTCCCACAGGGCTTTGTACTCGGTCCTATCTTGTTTATGATATATGTAAATGATCTCCCGGAGGGTATAGATTCCTTTCTCTCAATGTTTGCTGATGATGCCAAAATTATGAGAAGGATTAAGACAGAGGAAGACTGCTTAAGGCTTCAAGAAGACCTGGACAAGCTGAAGGAATGGTCGAACAAATGGTTGTTAGAGTTTACACTTAGCGTTTCGGGCAGGTCCCTGGAATACGATCCTCGCCGCGAAGAATCGTTTTTACAACCAAGTATCCATTTTACTGTTGAGTTAAACAGAGGCTACAGTTAAGGATTTACCCCCAGTAATTACATTACATTATTGCAAATGTAATGCAATGAAGATAGGCGTAGGGAGCAGGAGGCCAGATACAAGGTATCATCAGGGAGATGAAATTCATGAGTCAGAGAGAGAAAAAGACTTGGGGGTTGACATCACGCCAGACCTGTCTCCTGCAGCCCATATCAAGAGGATAACATCAGCGGCATAAGCCAGGCTGGCCAACATACGAACGGCGTTCAGAAACTTGTGTAAGGAATCATTCAGAACTTTGTATACCACATATGTCAGGCCAATCCTGGAGTATGCAGCCCCAGCATAGAGTCCATATCTAGTCAAGGATAAGACCAAACTGGAAAAGGTTCAAAGATTTGCCACCAGACTAGTACCCGAGCTGAGAGGTATGAACTACGAGGAGAGACTACGGGAATTAAACCTCACTTCGCTGGAAGACAGAAGAGTTAGGGGGGACATGATCACCACATTCAAGATTCTCAAGGGAATTGATAGGGTAGATAAAGACAGGCTATTTAACACAAGGGGCACACGCACTAGGGGACACAGGTGGAAACTGAGTACCCAAATGAGCCACAGAGATATTAGAAAGAACGTTTTTAGTGTCATAGTGGTTGACAAATGGAATGCATTAGGAAGTGATGTGGTGGAGGCTGACTCCATACACAGTTTCAAGTGTAGATATGATAGAGCCCAATAGGCTCAGGAACCTGTACACCTGTTGATTGACAGTTGAGAGGCGGGACCAATACACACACACACACACACACACACACAGGGGGGCCTAGTAGCCTGGTGGATAGCGCACAGGGCTCGTAATTCTGTGGGGCGGGTTCGATTCCCGCACGAGGCAGAAAAAAAATGGGCAAAGTTTCTTTCACCCTGAATGCCCCTGTTACCTAGCAGTAAATAGGTACCTGGGAGTTAGTCAGCTGTCACAGGCTGCTTCCTGGGGTGTGTATGTGTGTGTGGTGTGGGAAAAAAAGTAGTTGATTGACAGTTGAGAGGCGGGCCGAAAAAGCAGAGTTCATCCCCCGCAAGCACAGCTAGGTGAATACACACACACACACACACACACACGCACACACACACACACACACACACACACACACACACACACACACACACACACACACACACACACACACACACACACACACACACACACACACACAGTATATGAAAGTGTGTATGCGGTCTGCCTCCATTAGACAATGATGTTGTGGAGACAGACTTCACTCACATTCAAATCTAGATTTGACTGACCTAAATAAACTCAGTAACCTGTACACCAATTAATTGACATTTTAGAGACGGGGCCCCCAAGACCCGAAGCTCAGCCCCCGGCAAAGCAGAACTAGAGGAGTACAGAGACACATTACCTCTGAAGTAGTGTAGAGCGGCTGCTGCGTGTTGGTCCCTGCCCCTGGAGACGAGGAAGGCCGGAGACTCATGGGTGAAGATGACCAGGGCGAAGCACAACAAGGGAACAACACTACAGCAGAAGGCCAGCCACCTCCAGCTGCCGACGGCGGCCCCAGCACCGTACACCACCACCACCCCGACGGACAACATCAGCTGGACTCCACTCCCTCGGTACACACCAACCACAGTTGACAGGTGAGGTATTATGAGGATAGCAAGTTATGAGGAGAACCTTCTGACACAACATGACTATGTGGCGCTGGCAGGGAATATGTGGCGCTGGCAGGGAATATGTGGCGCTGGCAGGGAATATGTGGCGCTGGCAGGGAATATGTGGCGCTGGCAGGGAATATGTGGCGCTGGCAGGGAATATGTGGCGCTGGCAGGGAATATGTGGCGCTGGCAGGGAATATGTGGCGCTGGCAGGGAATACAAGGACAAGGATCTGGGCTGGGACGGGGGAAGGAATGGTGCCCAATCACTTGGACGGTCGCGGATTGAACGCCGACCTGCATGACGCGGGACCATCGCTCTACCGTCCACCCCAAGTGATTGGGCTAACTGGTAGAGAATAAAACAGTGTTTGCATGATTGGAATTTTGTAAGATATTCAAAATGTAATTTGAGGTTAGACAATGTAATCTCAACGACGTAATCTTTCTGTGAGAAAGTCTTGAGGGAAATGTTCTTGGTGCAGCCGGCAGTGTGGCTGAGGAGTCCAGGGACGCGAGGGTTCGATCCCATCGTATGGCCTCAATAATTGTATCATGGTTTGAAGATCTTGATATTGTCAGTGTAAACATTATTTGTGGAAAAATTAATATATAAGAAGAGGTGGGTCAGGATTTATCAAGCGTTTAGGTGTGCACTTCAGAAACCTGTACATCTTTTCTCCATCACGGCGGTTTAGTTTGAATTTAAATAAACAGTTGACAAGCGTGGAAACTTTCCCAACCCCAAGATGTCATAAGACACTGTCATAAGCAACCTCGTAGCGCTTCTGAGCTCGCTAACAAGCTCAGTTAGCTTCGGAGACTTCACCTAGCAGTCTCCGTGGTGTAGGGGTAACACACTCGCCTGGCGTTCCGCGAGCACTATGTCATGGGTTCGTATCCTGGCCGGGGAGGATTTACTGGGCGCAATTCCTTAACTGTAGCCTCTGTTTAACGCAACAGTAAAATGTGTACTTGGATGAAAAAACGATTCTTCGCGGCGGGGATCGTATTCCAGGGACCATAGGATTAAGGACTTGCCCGAAACGCTACGCGTACTAGTGGCTGTACAAGAATGTAACAACTCTTGTATATATCTCAAAAAAACAACAACAACAATATACTATATGCAAACTAAGCCATCATGATTGACAAAAAGATGCACAGGTTCCGTAAAGGGATACAAAAATGTTCGAGGCCTCCCGCGAGCCTCATGAAACATGGCACCTGAGGCGAGGACTCACCTAACACTCCCCTGATATGAGGGGAGGCGATCTCTCCAATGTAGGTGGGTACAGCCACACTTGTCACCCCGACACACACTCCAGTCACTACTCGTCCTCCCAGCAGCATGGCGAAGTTCGAGGACGACCCTTGGAGACAAAGCACATTCCGGTTGACTGAGGCACTCGAGTCAAGTGTATCTCCACGGCTTAAGTCACACTCAGGTGGCTGGCACACGCATCATCCAGCCCACACACAGACAAGAAATAAGTGATGAAGTCGTTTCAGGTCGTTTCTAGTCGTCCTGTAAGTTTGTTATGTCGTAACGAGGCGTCGTTACTGTCATTCGCGACCTCCATTTGGCCTGGTGCGTAGCTGTGTCACTACTTGCAGGGTCGCTGTTCGATCCCCGATGGTCCAAGATCGAGGTCCAATGGGCACTGTCTTTCACTCCGTCCTCAAGTGTCAGCTCCTTGTCCTCATATCCCAGCTATTTGTCCTCATATCCCAGCTCCTTGTCCTTATACCCCAGCTCCTTGCCCTGATACCCTAGCTGCTTGTCCTCATATATCCAGCGTCTTGTCCTCATATCCATGCTCCTTGTCCTCATACTCCAACTCCTTGTCCTCATACTCCAACTCCTTGTCCTCATACTCCAGCTCCTTGGCCTCATATCCCAGCTCCTTGTCCTCATACCCCAGCTCCTTGTCCTCATACTCCTTTTGTTAGTCTGCCTCATGTCCCTTCCACTCAATACATACTCACATAGGCCTAACGTTTCCTCCTCATAATTACCTCACATCTCATTTCTTGTCCATATGTAGGTTGGAATTATTTTGATAGAAATAACATAAAAATTCAACCACAAAATATTGTCCACGTTCTTGGCGTACCTATGAGCGCCCAGCCAGCTAGGCAGGGTGGGCAGGAGACCAGGATGGTAGCTCTTCTGCCCAGGGTATTGATGCCCCAGCCGCCCAGCAGTCCTCCAGCGGCTGCCCCAAGATTAATGGAGGAGAGGAACCAGTCGTATTGGTTCTGTGACAGGTTCAGCGCCCCCGGCGTGCCCATTATCAGCGGTCCGGCAGGGGAGGTGTACCCCATGGCCGTGCCCATCGCCAGCGATGCCAGGGTGACTACGGGGAAGGGGATGATTAGACACGGTACCGTACCTTACCTGTCATGGTACAACTTCATTGTCATGGTAAACTCTTCCCCATTGTCACGGTACACTGTTCCCCACCCGTGCGACGGTACACACACTCACCTGCCACGGTACTGTAATACTGGTTGAAGCGAGACGAGGCCTCACACTTCACCTGCTTGTCAGGGGAAGCTCCTTCACCTTCCTTCATGCTGATGGGACCGCCTGAAATACACTGATACTTTACTGTAATGAGTTATACACTGTTATACATTCTCATTTTCCTTCTTAATCCTCATTAATCATGTATGTATGCTTCATACATCTCTACTTACTTCTTTAACACAAAACATAAATGAAAACGAATTCCTCTGGAGACTTCAGCTGAAAGCACAAGGTACATAAAGAGTCAGCAAGCAGTTGAGTCGCTTCTTAAAAAAGACGAATATCTTACAAAAATGAACCTCATGCTCTCCAACCAAACTAAATTCTAAAGGGTAACAAAAGATACTACAGCCGAATTGAAAACGAATGTAAACAGATTGATCGAAACTGTGAACGCCAAGAAATCCGGACTCTAGCTGCCGAAGGTTATTGGGGAATACAAACCTGGTTATGCGTATGGGAATGTCAAGACCCACAAGCCTGGAAACCCACTTCGGCCAATCATCAGCCAGATACCCACACCCACATACAGACTGGCCAAGTGACTCAACTGCTTGCTGACTCCTTATGTACCTTGTGCTTTCAGCCTGAAGTCTCCAAAGGAATTCGGTGACTTACTGTGGGGAGCATGGGCCACAGGGATAACAAAATAAAATACCTTGTAAAGACTGTAATAAGTTCTATGTTGGGCAAACATCTAAAGATTTGAAATGTAGAATTTCGCAACATAAATACTCTGTAAGACATGACCAATTGTCTAATGCTTTGTTTGTTCATCTGTCAGAAGATGCTCACCAAATTGATTGGGAGATGGCTTCTTCAATAACGAATTGTAAAAGCACTTATAACAGGAACATAATTGAATCTGCTTTGATACAGATTACAAAAGAAAGTAATTTGAACATTAGCAGTGGTTTATATAACTTGGATCCATTTTTAATAGATCAATTAAAGGGCGATTTGAGTAGGATCATTGGAACACATTTGTCTCACTAATTCATTGTAAATATTTACTATCTTATGCTATTATAATCCATGTGTGGGCCTGTTGGTGGGTATGGATAGGAGCTGCATCGTATGGGCCAATAGGCTTTCAGCATTTCTTGTGCGGCTCATATTTGTGTCCACCTAATTCCCATTCATTTGTTATTGTACCTCTTCTTCTTCTTCTTGAGAATAGGTGCAGTTTGCATGAAGGGGTAACCCTCCCGATGACTGCACCAGGACAGATGTAAGGAGACGCGTTGATGGTGAGGAGGAGAAGAAAGTCAAAAGCGGTAGATGTGATGGGCCGTTGAGAGAGGAGTGGCGACGAAAACAGAGGCGAACGTTAGAGGGAGACTCCCCGCACCGGGGGGCGGGGAGTCGTGGTCACGGTGGCAGCTGATCCAGGCACGGCGTAGCGGTGTGCGCAAGACGGGAACTAATACTTCTCCGGAAACTTACGGTACGGAAAGCGCAAGCGGTACGCTTCCCAAATCACCCACAGGTCGGCGGGCAGCCGGCCATCAGGCAGTACCCTCGGCTGAGACATCCTATCCGGCACCCTATAAACAAACTCCTTCTCTGACGATACCCAGATCGTGGACGAGCACCAGGGGATCGAAAGCACCCGGGCATCCCAATAAGGGCCCAACTCCGGACCCTCACAGGGCACGTCCCCAGCAGACAGGACTAGGCAACCCCCAGACCGGGGCAATGAAGGAGGGGGAACAGCAGGGGATGCAGGCGCGGCAGCGACCCCACCACAGGGCACAGGAGCCGAGGCCCCCCCGGCGCACATCTTTCCGCAACTTCACGACGAGGTCCCGACCATCAGGGACAACCCCCCACTGCGGGGACCCAACAGCAGGAGACACAGGAGGGGGGGGGCACAGGGAGCAACGTCGGAGCCCCGCACAGCACCATCACCCACGGCGGGGGACGCCAGCTGAGCACCATCCTCCCCCACCTCCTCCCAAGGCACACCATGAAGGGGAGACACACTCCGAGCCCGCCACGAACGCTTCGAGACAGGTCGCACCACACCACGCCCAGCAGGCCCCGCCGCAGGCACGGCCACCATCTTCACATCCACACGGGCCACACCCGCACCGTCCGAAGAGTCCACAGAGGCCACATCGCCCACACTGTCTACATCATCCACGGAAACAGCCTCAGAACACCGACGCGCACGCTTCTGCAAAGGAATGGAAAGAGCAGAACTACAGTCGTTAACACACACAGGCACGGCAGGCACCTCACCTTGCCGAAGCACCCCCTCCAAAACAGCAGAACCCGCGTTCCCGGGAGCCGTTACCACATCCACAGGCGGGGGCGGAACATGAACCTCCACCGGGACACCTTTCACTACACACAGCTCAGGCGACGGCCCGACACCATCACACACCGGCTGAACAACCCCAGGGGCCACAGCAGTCACTAGACGTGTCGCACAGGCCGGAGAACTCGCCTCAACAGGCGGAGCAGCAGACAGGCAATCAGGCGCCTCAGGCACAGCACCCACACCGTCTGAACGCAACAAGGGCGGAAAATCCTCCGCACGAAGAACATGCACCCGACCAGTTGCTCCCACGTCGCACGCAGCAGCCAGATGACCCTCGTGACCACACCGATAACAGGTGCGCGGTTGACCCCGGTACTGGCAGCGGAGCGTGTATCCCAACACGGACATCGACGACGGTACACTACACTTCAGCGACATCGTCAGGGTGCGGGAGCCGTCAAGCATACCAACAGTGCCCGGCAACGACCTTGTTCCAACGAACACTTAAAACTGTCCCAAACCGTTCGAAACAGGAGGTTAAAAAGTCGTCCTGAAATTCGAAGGGGGCACCATGCACCGTCACAGACGTCAAGGTGACACTAAGATTCACTACCTTAACGGAGCCAGCAGTATCAGGGAGTGGGTAAACACGCCCCTCACACCGCTCAAGAAACGCCTGAAAGGCAGCCTGGAGGCGGAACTTGACCACAGCACGGTGGCCCTGAAGCAGCTGGATGCCCACCAGGTCAGACAGCTGCACATGCAGCACGTCCACTAGGGCGACACCAACCAATGGATGGTCCACCGGCACCGTAAACGCCAGACCAGCTGACAGCGTCCTCTTCATTGGAGGGCGAGACGTCCCCATGGCGAAGCAAACGTCACCCTGTCAGTGGCAAACCACCACCAGCTGGGCAAACAAGCGATCACCCAACGTAAACACTAGCCAGTGCGGAGAGACCTCAGGAACGTCCGACCTGGTCGGCGGTCACCACGCAACTCCCCTATTGTACCTCACTCCACCATTCTCTCCTGCCTATTTATGTCCAATACTTGACCTGTAAAATCACTCCTTCTGAAGATGTATTAATATACGAAAGTACTTAAGGAAATTCCTGTTTCAATTTTCCTCCGTGGTCTGACACTCACATTTTTAATCACGTGTTTATTTTCGTGATTTACACACACACACACACACACACACACACACACACACACACACACACACACACACACACACATATATATATATATATATGTCGTACCTAGTAGCCAGAACGCACTTCTCAGCCTACTATGCATGGCCCGATTTGCCTAATAAGCCAAGTTTTCCCGAATTAATATATTTTCTCTAATTTTTTTCTTATGAAATGATAAAGCTACCCTTTTCATTATGTATGAGGTCAATTTTTTTTATTGGAGTTAAAACTAACGTAGATATATGACCTAACCTATCTCTATAGGTTAGGTTCGGTTAGGTAGCCGAAAAAGTTAGGTTAGGTTAGGTTAGGTAGGTTAGGTAGTCAAAAAACAATAATTCATGAAAACTTGGCTTATTAGGCAAATCGGGCCTTGCATAGTAGGCTGAGAAGTGCGTTTGGCTATTAGGCTACTAGGTACGACTATATATATATATATATATATATATATAGGAGAAGATATATATAGTATCTCCTCTGAATATATTTTCTTCTCCGAGGCTATGGGTCCCCATACCAGAGGTATCATATATATATATATATATATATATATATATATATATATATATATATATATATTATATATATATATATATATATATATATATAATTTTTTTTCGTTGAAAACGACAGAAAGTTTTAGACTTATGAGTTTGTTATGAATCTTCTCGATATTTCTTATGATTTTCTTCACAGAAGCACAAAATTTAAAAATTAACTTTCCAAACAACATTTGTAAACTTTTTATTGGAACTGATGCCTAGTGATGCGTTTTACACAGTCACTCATTACATTCTCAAACACAAATTGTACCGTGTTGTTGTTGCTTCAGAATTAGCTACTCAGAAGGAAGTGTCCATGTAGCACGGGCTATGGTGAGCCCAGAATTGAGTTCGGTTATGCGCGATAACCTTGTTACTCTGATATTTGGGTCTAAGTTTAAAAAGGAGGAGGGGATTCCTCCTTTCTCCCCTGTTTATTTATCGTTTCTGTTTTAGTGCACTTCTTTTTAGTGCACTTCTACCGTGCTTATCGCCGGGTTTTATACTCTTATGGTGAGGTGGTTAGGTAACATATGGACGAATGGCATTATATATATGGGATGTTGATAAGGTATTAAATATATCAATATAGAGTGTGACATGTTAGCAGCTTAAGTTATTCTGGTTGCTTCCGTTCCTGTTGCAGGGGCATTTGGTCCTGCCTCTGCATTGGCTCGGGGTCTTGAAGTGGGTAGAGTGTAACTGTGTATTAGCTGGTTGTTGATTGCTGGTCTAGATTTCTTGATATGCAGCGCTTCACTAATGTCTAAGTTTCTAGTGTCATTGTATCTGTCAATTGTTTCAGCGTTGCTCGTCAAAAATCGTCGAGAAATCTAGACCAGCAATCAACAACCAGCTAATACCCAGTTACAATCTATCCTCTTCAAGACCCCGCGCCAACGCAGAGGCAGGATCGAATGACCCTGCCACAGGAATGACCCTGCCACAGGAATGACCCTGCCACAGGAATGACCCTGCCACAGGAATGACCCTGCAACAGGAATGACCCTGCAACAGGAATGACCCTGCCACAGGAATG